CAGTGGTCGAGGGGCTGGAGAGAGAACAGTAAACACCTGATGTTCCAGGTCCACACTGGTCACCACGATGAAGCCTGCCACACTGGTCTCGGAAAGGTTCTCCTCTGTGCCCTCAGCAGTGCTAACACTCAGGAGGTGGTGCACCATATCTCGGCCAGGTGTGACAGGTACTAGCTTGAGCTGATTGTCCTCCTGAGACATGCCCAAAGGCAAACAGGAGTCTGGAATGGTGGGTGCCCCAACTTTGTAGATTTTCACATCTGAAAATTTGACATTGAAGGCATGGGGATAGAAACAGCCCCGGAATCCATAGAAATACTCACGGATACGCTCATCCCTACATTCCCGCCGGAAGTCTTTGGAGCGTTCAACCACACCCCCCGATTTAGGGAGCAGCACAGTGCGGACAAAGTGAGGCAGGTCCCGTTTTAGTTCATTGTACAGTCGTTCTTGATCCAGAACCACTACCACATCAACCTCAAAGGCTGAAGCTGCGTGCACCAAGGCCTGGTACCCAGAGCCCTTGACCCAGCCACAGGTGTTAATGACACAGCCACTCACAGAGGCCCTTCGGTTCACTTCACACCTTTGATTGAACACGTCCGCTAACCGAGATGTAATCTGCAGAAGAGAGCATCAAGGTGAGGAAAAAACAACACAAAACAAACAAACTCATAGCTACATAGAATAAGTGGCTATTAGGTACAAGAAAAAAATGACATTCTTAATGACTGTGGTTTTAACCTGTAACAGGGATTTCATTTTTATGTTGCTTCTTCTACTGTTTCATGTCCTAAGTAGAGATTTAGTAAATTACTCAAGAACAGGGCCACAGGGATGCCTGGGTGGCTCAGTGGTTAAGCGACTGCCTTCAGCTCAGGTCATGATCCTGGAGTCCCGGGATCGAGTCCCGCATCGGACTCCCTGCTAGGCAGGGAGTCTGCTTCTCCCTCTGACCCTCCCCCTTCTCATGCTCTCTCTCTCTCTCTCAAATAAATAAAATAAAATAAAAAAGAACAGAGCCACAGAAACGTTTAACAATCTGAGGTCGACTTCTATTTGAAGCTGTCTTTTCCGAAATCATGTGGCCATCATACCAGCTGAGAGGGAGCAACGAAATGGTCACAGACGATTTCAATTAGCACACTTTTGCACAACTTTCTACCCTAATAGTAGCCCTTCCCTCCATCCCACCTTGGCTCTGACCTTATTATAAAGCTTGATGTTGGTGCCAGGAGTGGTGGAGCCAAAATGATACACCAGAGGGGCTTGGATAGAGAATCCCTCTTCAACATCTGCTGGCCGCTCAATGTAGAGGGCCCCCATGGTACCAGGGATGGAAACGGAGCCCTGGCCCACATCCAGCTCCACATAAGTGGGACGGCGGCCCAAACGCACTGCGTAGTTGAGCAGTAGACGACACACTGTGGACTTGCCCACATCAGTGGGGCCCACCACCATCACCCGGGGGCCTCGCTCTTCTTCCTTCTCCGCCTGCCTCCTCATCTGCTCCAAAGCTGTGTGAGTGTTGAGATAAAGCAACATAGGTGTGTCCTTGGAGACGTAAGCCACCTCGGTGCGGCCACTCAGCTGTAAAGAACAGCCATGCCAAGTGAAAACAGCCACCTTGGCACCAGCATCAAAGGTGAATTTCTTGTTTCGGGTCAGCTCTGTGCCAAAGATTTCTGCCATGCCGGCCAGCAGCTCCAACTGAACTGACTGAGATGCCTCCACCTCAAAGCGAAGTTCTGTTTCACGCTCTAGTTCAAATTTAGTTGTTGGCTTCTTGTCATCGTTGGCCTCCTCTCCCATCTTTTCTGTGTAGCTGCTGTACCTAGAACACAAATTAATTATCAGATCTAAACGGAAGTTACAACGCTGTTCAAGATCCTCCCATGGATAGTTCCCCTTACCTTGCTTTATTTTTCTCCCTACGTGTCTCACTATGTATTTGTTTATTGTCTGACTGCCCCCGCTGGAATCTAAGGGTTGGGCAGTCTGGTTTGCTGCTGTATCTCCAGTATCTAGAATAGGGCTTGACAAACCGAAGGCACCTCATAAATTCACCGAGTGAATAAATGATTCAGACATAAAATTATTTCTACACATTGACCTAAGACTTGATTATATCACCTCCATAGCTCCTTTCGTCACTCTATTGGGATACTCCACTTGAGAGGGCAACAAAAGTCCACTCCCCAACTCTCTTAATCAACAAGAAAGGGTGTCTGCGATCTGGATGCAAAGCAGAAAATACTGGGTTTGAACTTAGAGCAGTAACGCCCCGCTCAGCAACTGCCAAGTACCGTCGTTAGACAAATCACCTTATCTCTCTGGACCTCTTCCTCGGCTGTCAAGTGGAGGCACTTAGGCTTCCTCTCACAAACTGTTGTTCCGGGCACTGCTGAAGGAAAAAATTACTTCGTGGTCTAGAAAACGCCGAGAAATAGTGAAGAATGATCTCCGATCGCGAATAGCAGCTCTAAGTCCAGTATCTGTCCCGGTACCCCCAGACGCCGAAATCCGTCCTGGCCCTAAGGGGGCGACGGTTGCATTCCCGAGCCTGTTATCTCACCTGTGCAGCCACAAACCCAAACACGTAAATGGAAGAGCCCCGACGACACCTAAACCCAACAGCACTCCACGCTCGCCCAGACCAACGCCGGAAACAGAGGCGGTTCCGCACTTGCGCAATGGAGAAGCCGCGGTCGCGCGATGCCTCTTGGGATGTGTAGTTTTGCCAGAATGGCCTCAGGCTGCTGTGCTCGCGCAGCCGCTCGGCCTTCTGGGAGTTGTAGTTAGGGGATTGTTTTGCTCGTGACGCCAAAGGTGGGCGGGGCGGCGGCCGTCATTGTTAGCGAAGCTGGCCAGCAGTGGGTAGGAGGAGTGGCGGTTACGCCCCGCGCGAGGCGGGGACCCGCCAAGGAGCCAATGGTTGCCGAGGCGCGGCAATATGCGGACTGTAGCACCAGTGTTCCCGCTCACCTGCCGCGGGGGAAAGAGAGGGGCGGTGGAGAGGCCCTTGGTGGGTAGCGGTAAGGCGGGGGAGGAGGAGGGTGTGGCGGGGAGGAGGAGGGTGTGGGGGTAGGGAAGGGGCTGGTTAGGCTCGCCATCTGGGTCCCACGACCATCTGCTTGCCTGCACCACAAGCCAGGAGGTGGGGGGAAATCTGGGAGTAACGGAAAGTGGAGGAAAACAGCCTGTCAGAGGCAAACCTGGGCTGTCCTCCCTTCTCTGACACAGCGCTTGGCACCTAGAGGGCATTAAATTTTTTTTCTTTTAATAAAAGAATAAATATCCAAGAATTTCTTCCAGTCATTACCCAACAACGTCTCTCCTCTTGAGAGGGAATATATGTTGGTGACTCGTTTTCCCTCCCTGAATTCCTGACAGTTCTACAAAGCCAATTATTTATTCCACAGGCGACAGTTTGGGCCACATCTATAATCCTCAGGAGCTTGGGCTTTGGAATCTTGTGCTCTGCTTTGCCACTTTCTTGCTGTGTGACTTTGGGCAAATCAGGCATAAATGCTCTGAGACCCAGTTTCTGGTCTGTAAACAGGGATAATAACAGTACCCAACCTCTTAAAGTTGTTTTAAAGATTGAATGGGATGATACTGTAAAGTACTAAGCACAGGGTAACAGGGCATCTGATGTTAGCTTTTAAGTTTTTATTATAGGCTGAGGAGGGGGAGCTCTAATAATGCCGTCCATTTGTACAATAGTTTAAAATTTTCAAAGCCTTTTCCAGTATCTTCTTTCACAGCCAATCTATAAAGTCAGTTTTATTATCTCCAATTTCAGATGAGGAAGGAGACTAAGGTAGGTGAAGGGACTTGCCCAAGTTAGGACTCAAGCCCAGGATTTGGGATTCTGAGTCTAGTTATTATAGTAGCAAACACTTACATAGTGTTAGATGCCAGGTACAATTCTCTGAGTTTTACAGGTGTAAATTCATTTAATCCTCACAGGAGTCCTATGAAGTACATACCATAATTAACACCCCCCAGTTTACGGATGAGTAACTTCCTTCAGTCCAACTCCCATGGTTACTCTGGATCACGAAGCCCAGGACGATTATTTTCTGGGTTGCGTCTTTCACACCGACCTTGCCTTAGCACTCATTCTGTCCAAGTGCCATCCTCACTTCCCAAGGCTTATTCCTTAATGGTTCGCTTGAATTCATTCATTCACCACACATGCATTAGTTCTCCAGCGAACTTTCAGGTATCCCATAACTTTTCACCACTCTTCAAAAACTCAGTTCCAGGCTTCTATTTGCAAATTCTCTCCCGGAATAAGCTCAGCCTCTCCTCTTTCCCTGCAGTCTATTTCCCAGATCTGTTTCTTCGCTTCCACACACTGTCCCTTGAGGCAATTTCTTCCAATTATCTGAAGGTCATCTTTATTTTGCTTATTTATATATCCATCTCAAGCTGAACTTAGGGAAAAGAAACTCTTCTTGCCTTTAGATTATCTCCATTTCACTACCCCCCCTTTTTAAAGTAATCTCTGCCCCCCATTGTGGGGCTCTGACTCACAACTCCCTTCCCCCACCCAGATCAAGAGTCACAAGTTCCACCTACTGAGCCAGCCAGGCCCCTTCCAATTCACTTCTTAAACAGAGTGAGGACACAACATTTACAGCATGCATGCTTGCCTACACTCTCTCTTCTTCCTTGTCATCTTTCACCAAGCGTTCCTGCCATCTCCACTCCCACCCCCAAAGAATACTGTCCTCATATGTCTTTTTCATTATCCTCTCCAGTTAAACCCTTGATCATTTTCTTCCTGAGTTAATTGGTATCCCCTTTTTTTCCCTCCAAACTTTCAGTCCTTGCCCTAAGAACTACTCACCTACCTTTTCCCCCACTTCCCAATGTTTTCCTCAAGAATGGTTCCTCAAATTCCTCCCCCCACTTACCTTTCCTCTTTCATCTGCTGCCCAGACAGAAACACTTCTTTCTTTACCCAGTTATCCCTCTCAGTTCCAGACTTCTGGTGATATCACTCAAGGCACTTGCACTGTGTTTTCAGAATTTATCTTAAACCCCAGAATCTTCCCAGATTAAATAGAATTACTTTTTTTTTAAATTGTATTTATTTGAGAGAGTGAGAGAGCACAAGCAGGGAGAGTGGCAGACAGTGGGAGAGGGAGAAGAAGGCTTCCTGCTTAGTAAAGAGATCCTGGGATCTTGACCTGAGCAAAAGGAAGAGGCTTAAGTGACTGAGCCACCCAGGTGCCCCTCCTGGTACTTTTTCATACCCAGCTAGCAATGCCTCCCATTACCCACATTTCCCTACTCCTCCCTTGCCTTACATGTGAAAAGACAAAGGACCCATGAGCTGTCCTTTCTGAGTACCTATCTCTGTCACACTTCATTTTCTAGATGGTAGCCTCTGTTAGAAATTGGGGCTTTTATCTTAGAGGATATGTTCCGTATCCACACACTTCAGAGATACGCACAGGACAGCACTCCATGAGAAATAGAATCTGAGTCAAATGAAATGTAATTGGAAGCTGCTAGAAAAATAGCCCCGAAAAGTGTAAGTTTTTCATAAGGTATAAAGTTGGTATGTGTCTCTTGAGATGTCAGAATTTAATAGTAAATCCTCTCTGGGGTTTATGGGGTATGAAGCTGAGAACAGTGTTTGGAAATAACTACTGTTTACTAAGTGTGGATCGTATGCCAGTCACTTTTTCGGTGTTTACATCTACCTCACTTTACTTCACATCTCCATGAGGTAAATCTTAGGAGGAGTGGAAAACTGGCGGCACAAAGATCAGAAACTTGTCCAGGGGTTCCTGGTGAGTGTACTGGCCAAGATGGTACTCAAACTCATGTCCCTTTGAGACCAAAGCCAGACCCCTGGACCTTGTCTGAAGATGTGGCTCGACTGCTGTTTTGTGATCATCATCTTTGGCAAGGCTCTGCGCTAGACATTGCAGTCTTGGGATGCAGAGAGGAGTTTCCCAGAGGACCTTTCTCAAAAAGTTTACAGCCCAGTAGAGAACCTTACGTAATGTGGGTGTCTCTCTTCCCGAAGCACAAGTAACTTGGAGGTAGCTGAGGAGAGGTTCCTGCTTGTGAGAGGTCATATTCCGTCTATGACTCCTTGAGGGGCATTAAGCTGAGGCTCCGAGGCTTGGAAGTGCCTGGTTCAAGCTTGGGGAGCACAATGTAACCATCAGTTTGTCTTTCTTCTCCCTGCGTCAGGACTGGTTTCCGGGCTGAGATGGGAAATATATCCTCTTGAATGTGTGCACACGCCTAGTTCTCTGCATCCATCTCTCACTGTCATTGCCTGGCCACCTCCTTCCCTCCAGCCTGCCACCCGTACTCCATCCTTGCCCAGCCCTGTCCTTCCCCCAGGTTCCTTCTGTTTCCTTGGCCACACTGCCTTCCTCCTCAGCAACCAGCCTCTCCTCTAGCATCCCTCCTCCCATCCTATCCATCTGCTCCCACCCCCCTTCTCCCTCCCCTAGACCCGTCCCTCGATGCCTGCCCCCTCCTTTCCTCCCAACCCGCCTCCTGTGTCTCCCAGCCCTGCTCTGACGTGGGAGGTGAGGGGGTGGGGGGATGGATGACTCACAGTGTTATGATGCAGTTCCACAACACACAGCTACATTCACCCACAGACCGAGGTACAGACGAGAGACAACCTCTGGCCCCCCAGCAGCTGGCCAGCTTGGCAGCCCCAGTTTCCAGCCCCTAACTACCTTCCCCCTCCCCCATCCCCTTCCCAATTGAAGGAGCGGAGAGAGAAGAGAGAAGAGTGAGCAGAGAGATTGAGAGAGAGAGAGAGAAAGAGAGAGAGATAGACGGAGATCTCTGGAGCAGACCTCAAGGTGAGGGGGCAGCCCTTCTCCAAATGAATTTTTTTCCCTTTTCGCAAATTTCCTCCTCCTGCTGCGTGTTGCTTTCTCCCCATTGCAAAAGCATTATTCATCCACCCTTTGTCCTCCCTTCCCCCTCCCCGCTGCCTCCGCTCCCTTCTCAGCTCCTCCATCCCTCTCAGGGCTCTGACGGTTCCCGCACTTATTTTCCGGCAACTTTGGCGGCTGCATCAGGCCTCACTGTTTATTGTTTTGCTGCTGGTGTAGACCCCCGAAGCCCGCCCGGGAGGCTGGCTGCGCTGCTAATTATTTGGACCATACCATGCCGAGAACGCCAGCCCGGGAGGGGGGGGCGGTGAAACCTCGGAGCAGATGAGAAAATCCATTGTGAGCAGGTGTCGTGTCCCCCACCCCCAACCAGGCACAGGATTCGCACCTGGTTCCTCAAGCCTCCGCCTGGGCGCCTCTGCTGTCAGCGCTGGTTGCTCAGCACCCCCCTTCCCCCAGCGCTCCCTCTCCCCCACCTCCCACGGTCCAGCCCCATCTCACTTGGGGGAACATCCTCTCCCCTGCACTCAGCTTGCCTTTGTTTTTTCCGTCATTTGCCCAACTTGATTCTTCCTGTGATCTGAGCCCGGGAAGCAATGACCCCAGCTACCCCTCCTGTGAGTGAGTCTCTGGCCTTCTGTGCAGCCTCTCCTTGGCCTGATGGGGAAGCCGGGGAGAGAGAGGGAGGGAGGTGTGTCGGAGGCCCGGGGAGGAGATAGAGAGCAAGGACCCAGCCTGGCCCCCTGGCTGGGTCCCTGGCAGGTGCACTAGGTGGAGCGCAGCAGAGGGGAGCTCACAGGCAAAGTTGAAGGCAGACCCGGGAAGTGGGCGCTAAACAGTGGACTCTGGTGAGGAGGGCCCCTCTTCTGCAGCCAGAGCCCAATGTCACCCTGAACTCAGCTCAAGGTGTCTTTCTGGGGCCCAGCCAAAGGTAGAGGACCTCAAACTGATGATGAGCTCAGTCCGGGGTGGGGGTTCTGTGGAGAGACTGCCTGGTGGCCCCAGGAAACACTGGAACGGCTGGGGCGCCAGTGGCCACCACAGGGCACAGGATGAGAGCCTGCTTGCCCAGGCTACTCGCAGTCATGCCACTTCTGCTCTGCTTAGTGGCCTTGTGTTGCCAGAGTACCCAGCTGGCACCTCGGAACCGGACTTGAGCTAAGTCACCCACGGCAGGCCTCAAGGCCCCATGGAGGAAAAGGCAGAACCTCACCCGTTTATCAGAGCCAACAGGGGGCCCCTCCCTTCTTATCCGCTGCCTCTAGCACCCTCTGCCACTTTGGGGTTGGAGTCTGGGCGGATACTGACCTCTCCCTCAACATTCCTAATCCAAACCCAGCAATTTTATCTAATGTCACCCACAGAGTCACTGCTGTTTGTCCCTACTCCAGGGAGAAGGTGGAAACGTTCTCCTCATTGTACCCCCACACCTAGGTTTTGAAACTAGGAGTCCCCCCCACTTCTGCAGTGGACATTTATCCAACACCACACCACACAGCCCAGGAGGTCAGCCATCCCTGCCGTGATCCCCATTACCCATTGCTTCCAGCTGTTAGATTTGCCTGAAGGAAAGATATTTTTCTCTCCTAGGGTTGGATGTCCAAGTCTTTAACTGAGGCTAAGGCAACAGTGAGCAAAGAGCAGTAGAGACCAAGGGGGCTCAGAGGCTGAGAAAAGAGCCAAGTCGCTGTTTCTGAGCTGGAACGAGTGGACCAAAGTGCAGGGCTGGCAAGCGGCCACGTCTGAGGTCTTTGGTACCAAAGGAGACATCCATGAAGTTCTAGTTCCCAGAATGCAGGACCCCAGCCCCAGGACAGAGCTAAGCAGGGTGTGTGTGCCTGCCTGACTGCCTTTTGGGCCGGCTTCTCCCCCACACAGAATGTATGAAGGACCGATTGCATTGCAAATGGAGGCCGCAGAAGAGAAAAACCGCCAGGCTTCCCCAACTTGTCAAAGGCTCTGAACCCGAGCCTAGCAGCACACGTGGGGTGCAGACCCTCACAAAAGGGCTGAAACCCAGGAGAGAGGACACTTGCCAATGGCAATGCTCCCATGGCAGCGTTGGTACCAGCAGGCTGCTCTCGGTGGAAAACGGCGAAGGCTCCTCCTGCCCCAGGAGGGAGAGACACCACCTCTCCGGCTGTGGCATCAGAGGCCTGGAACAGCTGCCAGTGCAGCCGGGAATCCAGGGGACCGGGCGATGGCGCGACTGGCACACTGAGGGTCCCTGGTGGTGGGGGAAGTCAGGGCAGGGCGGAGCGGAGCCCATCTTCCCCATCCCCCCTGGGGAGGGGCTCTTCGGGAGGTCAGGGCTCTCCTGATGCGCTCTTTCCTCTTCCCAGGTGACTTCCATTTCTATTTGGTTCACGTCTGGGGGGGCCCTGGCCGGGCAGCCCCCCCACATTTCTCCTGCCCTGAAACACGGCTCTAGCCAACCTGCTCCGCTGCTTCACTTGCGACCGTCTGTGTGGGGGCTGCACGGCGCCAGCCCCTCCGGCCCGCCAGGGCATTGTCCTCCAGCCTGTCATGCCCAGCTGCGACCCTGGCCCGGGCCCTGCCTGCCTCCCCGCCAAGACGTTCCGCAGCTACCTGCCCCGTTGCCACCGCACGTATAGCTGCGTCCACTGCCGCGCACACCTGGCCAAACACGATGAGCTCATCTCCAAGGTACGCCAGGTGGGGCTCTGCCACTTCTCTCCCACCAGGACTCACCGAGGGGAGAGGCAACGAAGGCTGTCCGCCCTCTCCCTCGCCCCTGGGGGGCTCAGGCAGTGGGGCCAAGGGCAACCCAGCAGTCACTGTCTGTCCTATGTCTCCACAGTCTTTCCAAGGGAGCCACGGCCGAGCCTACCTGTTTAACTCCGTGTGAGTCTACCTCTCTTTGTGTGTATGTGTGTTCGTGAGTCCGAGCAACTTTCCATTGCGGAGAAAGGGGGTGAGCCATCAGCAGGTGGCCTTGCACCTTTGGCTCTTGCCTCTCCTTTTGCCAAGGGGTCCAGAAACTCAGTCCTTGGTTCTCTCATGGAGAGTCTGGGCAGAACTGGAACCACTGCCCTGGAGAGGAGAGGCCCAGGCCCTAGGCATTCATGGGTGGAGTGTGGCCGGCCAGGGCTTCCCGTGGGGTGGGCTAAGTGCTCTCCAGGTGGAAGTTCCTTTGGGTTGTTTGGGGGCTGAACTGACAGAACGACTCCCCTGGTGCCGGGTCCTTCGTGTTTCCTGAGACAGGGTCAACGTGGGCTGCGGACCCGCTGAACAGCGCCTCCTGCTCACGGGGCTCCACTCGGTAGCTGACATTTTCTGCGAGAGCTGCAAAACCACCCTGGGCTGGAAGTATGTAAGTACCTAGAGAGGGGGCCACCCTCTCACTTGGACGCTCGTCATGGCCCCCTGAGCCCTAGGGACCACTGCAGGCTTTTGCATGGTCCACAGAAGCAGGGAGCTCGTTGCTGGGTCGGACTGCGCAGGGGCTTTTGGGGGCAGGGGTAGGAGCCTGGGTAGGAGGAGGACCTGGAGGGGGTTTGTTTTGTCCTACATTCACTGCTTCCCCTCCACCAGGAGCAGGCTTTTGAGACAAGCCAGAAGTACAAGGAGGGGAAGTACATCATTGAAATGTCACACATGGTGAAAGACAACGGCTGGGACTGAGGGGCTCAGGCAGGCTGTGCCCTTCCTCCGCATGCCCACCCTCCCCACACCTGTCCCCTGGCCCTGCCAAGCAGTCTATACCAGCATGAGTACTGCCCCACCCCTGGGGGGAAGCCGGCTCCCACCACCCCTCCCCCCCTCCACCTCATCACCCCCCAGGCCCCTTTGGAAGGGTGGTCTGGGGTACCCCAGGGGTGTTCAAGGCTCAGGAGTGGGCAGCAGTCAGGGAGAGACAGAGCTGGTGAATGAGGATAGTTGTGGGTCCTTCTAGCCCTAAGGTCCTGAAAACGGAGGTGATGGCAGGGCATAGGTCAGGCAGAAGACCCATTTTTGCCCTAATCTCTTGTTTGAGTGAACGGAGGACAAGCCTTAGGCATGGGGCTGGTAGGTCCCAGGCCACAGGACAGCAGATGAGAAGGGGCTTGAATTGGAGTGAAATTTTGGCCTCAGACACCGTGAGACACCAGTCTCTGAGGGTGAAGTTTCCCACCCCCGTTTGTAGGAGAAAGGATTCGGGGATGTAAGGGGAGGAAAAAAAAAAAAAATCCCAGATCCTAAGCCCTGGGAAATAAAAGAATCACAGGGGTTTCCATTTCACTCCACTTTTTAGTTCATCTTGGCACTAAAGAGGCACTTTCGAGTATCTTCGCCAGTGGGTGGGGTGGGGAAAGCCGCTCCTGTAACAGCCCCCACCCCAGCTGGCTGTTCCAGCACGAGCAGGCTTTCTGGGCATTCTCTGAGGCCCAGCCACTGCTCTCTGGGACCCGGTCCCTTGGAGGGGAGGTGGGACATCAGTGCCACGGGGTCAGGCTTCCTCGTGGCTGCCACCAGCGAACGAAACTTTTGTATGATACATAAAGTGTTTGGGTCTATTTTTAATAAAAAGGGGAAAAGCAACTGTGAGGGACTCTGTCCTCTTGACTGTCCTTCCCGTTTACCTACCATATACTATTCTGTCACACACCCCCCCTGCCCCCCAGGGGCCTGTCCCTTCACGCCACTAGAGGGCAGCAACTGCTTTGTCTGTATCAAAACCCCACTTGAGCTTTAACCAGGGGTTGGGTCTTCAGGGGAGGTATGCTTAGTGAAGAGGGAGCTTTTGCGAGCTGTGTTCCAGCGGAAGCATCCAAATCAGCTCCTCATCCAGAGCCCTTGACAATGAATCCTGTTTTTGCCTGGATCAGGGACTGGGCACCTGGAAGGGTCTCTTCCCTGAACAAGGGTGTCCTTGGGTCCTATTGCTTTTCAGCCTGGTTTTGAAATGTCTGGGTCAGTTCGTGGCCACACTTACGGCTGAAAGGAAAATCGATGAACGCAAGGTGTTGCCCCAGCACAGCAGAGACCAAGTGGAACGAAACGGCTCAAAAACCGCAGCATCAGGGCCACCGTGTGACCCACGCGCAATTTCTGGCAGTGATATGAAATCCCCATTGTTATTTGCTGGGTCACTGACAACTGCGGGGAGGACTGTACACATCATAAAAATACTTTTTTTTTTTTTTAAGCTAGCTTGTATCCAGATTTGTTCACTGATATCGCCGATCTTTGTAGAGCACCAGTGACCTGCCAGGCATTGTGTTCAGCACTGAGGGGGCAGTGGAGAACAAGGCAGCTGTGGCCTGACTTCGGCGGACTTTCAGTCCTTCCCGCTAGGGAAGACAAACAATATCGAGCCAATTCTAGGAACAGGGGACAAGGGCTCTGGGCAGCAGTTTCTGGAGCTCCTAAGGAGAGGCTTAGCTTAGATTTGAGGAGTCAAAGACAGAGGTGATGACTGATGGTGCGTGGAGGAGGAGCCCTCGGGTGGGCATAGGGGGAATTGGGGAGGGGGACTGTTTGACAGAGAGAACTTTGTGTGTCAAGTGGCTTAGCTTAATTTGAGGAGGGAATAGAAGTTTCCCAGCGCTGGAGTGGAAATGCCAGTGGGTGAGAAAGAGGACACAGGAAAGAGAGACCATTTAGGGATCTACATTTCATCCCAAGGGCATTGGGAAAACACTGAAAAATTCTTGTTTTTCTAACAAGAGTGGCGTGACATCATCAAATGGCTGTTTTGTGCCCAGAGAATAGGCTCAAACAGAAACGTTAATACATGGAAGAAAGAAAGAAAGAAAGAAAGAAAGAAAGAAAGAAAGAAAGAAAGAAAG